ATAATCATCCTGTACCATTCATTTTGTTTGGAATTAGCATTGACTGCCAGCAGCAAAGAACGTTCCACTCTCCAGTGCATTTATCAAAGCTTTTACCTTTCCCGTTCATTCCTTCTGAAACAATGTGCCATGACTTAACTGTTGGCTTCAAACATCAAACCACGCTGCATCTTTCCAAGACTGCCTTTTCTGCATCCATTACTGATCCTACAGCTATTAGTTCAACCATTTTAAATAAATTCACTGGTTACCAGATACTCTTACAGGCCAATTAATGCTATCTGTTTATGTTATGAAGGCCCTATATATATATGCCAAGAACAGCCTTCTAAAATATTCAGCCTCAGAAGCTAATTACACTTATAACAACCAAGCATGGAGTTCTCTGAAAGCGTTGGATCCTCCAGTCTTCCGCCAAATATTACCGGCAGCATGGAATGCTGCTTCTTCTTTAGGAGTAGCGGTTCTAATCAGGTACTTTTGATTCTGTATAGTTTTTTCCCTCATGACATATGCCTTTTTTAATGATAACCAAAGTTTTTCAAAATAATTAGATATTCCCTGCTCAATTTCTGCTGCTTCTAAGAAACCATCAACAGCGTACAATAACTATTCGAGAAGGCTATAGAACATGGACTATCAGCATTTTAGAAACTTGGTTTGGAGAAGGTTGGCAAGACTTCTGCGAGAATAATATCATCCATGAAAACGACACAATGTTCCTTCGACATTCCGGAAACTTGATGTTCGACGTCCTCCATTACTCAGCAACAAAAACGCATGGCTACTTACCTTGGAGTCATCCACTACCTAGTTTGTTGGACGCTCCAGAACATGTTATCGCAAAAAGTTAGTTTTCTCATGCTTAAACACTTCCAGATTTTTAGCATTGTCCTTGTTTAATTTGCCAGCTTTGTACGCTTACCTTTTTTTATGAAACACAGAACAAAGAATGCAGTGTCAGAGAGTAGCATCAGCAATGAAACCAGATTTCGTTCAAGACATCGCTGATGGTCTATCATTCTATGAGATCTTCACTGAGGAAAACCAACATAATTTTGTAAGCTTCAGTTATCTCTTCTTTTATTTTTTCATTCGCTGCTTTCTTTCCCACTAATAACTTTTTCCTTTTGGTTAACAACAGAAAGTGCCCAAATTTGTATCCTTCTTCATACACGGTGACAGAACTCCTCTGGTGACCCTACGAACTGGAAACAAGATAATCACAGTTGGAATGCGTCGAAGACGGTTTGCAACAAATTGGAACACATTTACTTTTGAGCATCAGCTACAATTTGGCGACGCTTTAGTATTTATCCCTGAAACAAAGTCCTGCTATACTGTCCTCATCTTCGACAAGCGTGGAGTCGAAAAGTTGTTCCCTTGGTACAATAAGTTCTGCATCTTCTCTGATGCACCGACCAGTAAAACTAAGCCAACTTCTTTTACGTTTATTCCAGGAGAAACCTTGTCCTTCTTATATGTTCACTAGGCATATGAATGCCAGCTTCTATTGTCCTTTATTTTTTCCATACGCAATTTACCTTTGCAGTCCGCAGATTTATTCCAACCATTTAGGAAATTGCAGCCGAATTAATGTTCTTTAATTCTATCAAATACAGGAAATTATTTTGCCTACATGGAGTTATCTCTTCACTTTAAATGCCTACAATTTTTTAAAAATCTGTTGCACTGACAGTGGGACAAATATTTAAATTTATTATATTCTACTTTAATTATCCCCTTTTTAATTAATGCCAGGTTCTCCATTTCCTTAATTTATAATTGCATTCCGCTGCTCACCAAATTCCGCGTAAGATGGCAACAAATAAATTTCTACTACCCTTTGGATTCTTGATTTAGATGGCTATGTCATTTGAATTAATGGTTAGTGTATCCTTTTTTCCATCTTTATAATTATCTCCCCTATACTACCTAATTTTTACTCAACATACTACAAATACAAATTATAGTACTTTATTAAATTCATGCTCTGTAATGCTCCTACTGGGCATTACATTAATTCTTTACCGTGCGCAAGCACGGTATATTTCTGCTAGTGTAATTCAAATAAGAAGGAGCAATATGGTGATCAATGTATACATTTCTATGGGTAGGCTATGTGGTTTTAAATACTTAGGCTGAGTAGTAATGCCTCTAAATTTTGGTTTCACAAAATTTATCAAAATAAATCTTGCTAGTGAAAAGATACAACAAAATACCCAAAAACTAAAAACTACTTGAATTTGTTTCAAAAAATCTTAACGTGGTTATGCAATTTAAATTGATATGATAATTCCTATGCTAGTATAGAAAGGAATTCAATAATCCTACGAGCCTTGTTATTACAGTATTCTACATGTTTTTAGTGTAAATTATTTGCTTTGACTTGTGATTGTTTAAATAATAAAGGAACTTAAATAGTATCAATAGTTGATCCATCTTCTACGTGAGATTAACACTAAGATATTTCCTATATTGGCATACGATTTTTGCACTTACGGTAGTGAAAGTTTGAATTTGATAGAGGCAAAAAACTTTACTGAACTCATACTAGAATAGGGGATCGATCGAGCAAATAAAGTCAAGATTAAATTTAACTCGCTACATTTTTTCAAGCCTTAAGATTTAGAATTCATCGAACAACTAAAATCAAGCTTAAATTTGACTCGCTACATTTTCTATCCTAAGATTAATGCAGCAACAAAAAACCAAGCTTAAGTTTGACTCGGTACATTTTTGGAGCAGCTTAAACTCAAGCTTTAATAAATTCAGTAGAAATCATATTACTCAAAGTTTGGCCCATGAGAAGTCACTCACGTTTTAGATTGGTAAATAAATTAACAAAATTGGCATCAGTTAAGGTCCATCCGGCGGACTCTAGTTATCGGCCGTTAATTATGTATTGGCATAATCTTATCTTTTCCGTGGATTTCTTTAAGCAAACATATGCCTGTGTGCGATGTCAGAAGTAGAAGACGTGAGCTTACATGATGGCTATTTTGACAAGCAGGCTTGGACTTATGATCATATGTCGCAGATGGCTAGTGTGTATAAAAAATAGTTAAATCAAAGTCCCTAGATGTGCAAAAAGTTGCACCTATGAACCTCTTGCCAATGTCAATTATGATGAATTCAAACAGGGCGCTAATGGTGCTCAGGCTATTTAAGAATTTGGTTATTATCAAAAAAATAAAAAAAAAGAATTTGGTTATAGTTTTGTAGTCTTGATAAAGTTAAAAGGTATAGCCGTGTAGGCATGATTTTTGTGATAAAACTTGTCCGATGACATATAAGCGTCTACATATAAATATGTAGGATAAATTTATTAACATTAGCAGAAGTTTATGATCGTATTATAAATATATTTTTTAATTACATGTTTTTATCTTAAATGCATTAAAACACAATAAAAGTGCTACAAATTATTTCAAAATTTTTTTTTCCAAATAACTTCCTACTTGTGTGTTTGGATATGTTTTCATTTGCAAAAAAATTAATTGATTGCATTGGATATCCAAACAAAAGTTGCAGTCTTTTTTGGTGGAGACTGGAGGGTGCATTTACTTTTAGGATGGTATGGCGGGAAATCTTGGCGCCATTGGTCTCCGCATTCCCTCATGTCCAGGACAATCTTCCTCTCTATTATCCCCAGTCCCACCAATTTCTCCAACTTCTCTACCAAGCGAAATCCATCATATTTCCAGCAAATACCCAGATTAATTAATTACCCTCGTCAACCTCCTGCTTCTTTGAGTTCTTTCTCCATGGCCCAAGACATGAATCACCAAAACCATAGCCCTGAAGTCAAAGAACCCACTCCAAAAGTCCAGAAACTCGACCGTGAAAATTGTTCAATCCAACAGGCACCCCCTTTTTTTCTAGTCAAACGGCTGTCTGATAATGCAATCTTGCCCTCTAGGGGTTCTCCCCTTTCCGCTGGCTATGATCTCTCCAGGTAATATCTATTGATCTCCTCCGGTTTTTGCTAGAGCAATAACCGATTCTTAATCAGGAAAATAATCTCTAAAAGATTTTTGAGGTGCTTGTTATTTTGGCAGCGCTGCTGAAACAAAGGTGCCGGCCCGAGGCAAGGCTTTGATTCCTACTGATTTGAGCATCGCCGTTCCTCAAGGAACCTACGCCCGTATTGGTAATAGTAATAAAATTTTCTGATTAATGTTCAGTTAATTGGAGTTTAATGTTAAAGATTCGCATTGGTTTCTGTTTGGTTGTAGCGCCGCGGTCGGGATTGACGTGGAAGAATTCAATAGATGTTGGGGCTGGAGTGATCGATGCGGACTACAGGGGTCCAGTTGGGGTGATTTTGTTCAACCATTCTGACGTTGATTTCGAAGTCAAGCCCGGTGACAGAATTGCACAGCTGATTGTTCAGAAAATTGTGACTCCGGAGGTGGAGGAGGTCGATGATCTGGATGCAACCGTCAGAGGATCTGGTGGCTTTGGATCTACCGGAGTTTAAACTTTAAAGCCCCTGTGGATCTAGATAGAACTGAATTTATTTTTCTAGTTCATTTCGTAGCAGTGCTAAAATTCAGTAGCCCTGTACTTTGTTAATGGATGGTCGGTTCTGTTTTTGGGTATTTGAGGGCAGAATCCATATGGGTTAGGCTGGAACTTGTATCAAAATCGAGCGCAATCCTACGAACAACAAAGGTCATGCTTGATGTTGTTCCAGAAAATTTGCCCAGAATTTACCAATTCTTAACATTGATAAGTTTTCATTGATGGATATTGTAAATGCACTGCGAATCAGGGACAAGCTTTTACACACCCTCAAGATACGTAAATATACGCAGCCGATTCTGACCAAATTCCAAATCCGGTGGAAAAGCAATTTCCGTAGTTTGTACCTTCTATGTGTGTTTTATCCAATGCTCTTGGTTGGTCTGCCCACCGGAAAAGTCTTCTTTGAAAAATCAAAGTTACTATGGACCACCCACCAAAGCCGACAGTTTTTTGAGTATAAACTATCCCCAATAGTCAATACTAGTAGCAAAAAGCCAACTCATTCTGCAGACAAACAAAGAGCAAGATGGTTGATCAAATCGGCTTATCTGAAGCTCTCAAGAATTACATGCCGTTTCTATACGTACGAAGGCTTTCTGATAGAGCTACGTTGCCTAAAAGAATGTTTCTTCATTCTGCTGGTCATGATCTTTTCAGGTACTAAACTAACTCTTATGTGCAGCGATATTACTCGCGAGAATCTGATTCTTTTTCTGTTCCGACTTGGTCTTCAGTGCAACAGATACCAAAGTGCCAGCCAGAGGCAAGGCAAGGATTTCTACAGATTTGAGCATTGACATTCCTCCAGGAGCCTACGGTCGTATTGGTACTAATATAGCATTCTTTCTCCGCATAATTGAACTGTTTTTTTTTTCTCCCTTCCAGGAGCCTATGCCCTTATGCCTTAACCTTTCTTTTTCTAGCTGCACGGTCGAGCCTGGCATGGGATCATTCGATTGAAGTTGGAGGTGGTGTTGTAGATGCTGACAAGAATCCAGTTTTTGTGATCTTGTACAATCATTCTGATGTCGATTTTGTAGTTAAGGTTGGAGACAGAATTGCTCAGCTGGTCATTGAGCTTAATGCAACACCTGAAGTCGTGGAGGTTCATCAGCCCTGATTGACCACCCTTAGAGCTGCTTGTTAATGGTTTCGTTATCTCTCGAATAATGTTGTTTGGAACCTCTTGCATTCTGTTAATTAAGAAATTACTCAGAATTGAAACGAGTTGTTCTCGAACACAATCATAACATATGGGGACGATATGAACAACGAAGCAATGATCAATTTAACGTTCATGCTCGAACTTATCAGTGCAACATCACGAAAAATATCAAGAAAACTTATGAGCATTCTGATAGGAAAGAAAACCTACGAATCTATTGTATACAGACGCAGCACTATAACTTAGTGGATACTCGTGAGATCTTCAAGAACAGAAACGTTGTTGAACTTCATAAAGTGATCGACAAGATGGACAGGTCATGTTTTTGGTCAACCAAGGATCAATGCACTGAACATGGAAGACATGGCTGCAGGGAGGAAAAGCTCTACACAACTGTGCATTCTGGATGCCATCCAAACATATGGCACAGGTCGATTCAGATCCTACCTTGTGGTAGTAGAAACAAGCCGCTTTTTGCAATTCCTCTGCAGATAAGCCCGGACAATCTTTGTCACCACTTCTGTCGTCGTTTGGGTGTGTGAGGTCGATCACAAGGTAGCATATGATAAGATATACAATAATTATAGCAACAAGACTGATGCAAGAAAGAGGGGGAGGTAATTCAGCCAAAGAACAAGCCATTTCCTTCCGGACATCGGCAAAAGAGATCAGCTTGAAACTGAAGAACAATCGAAGAAAATCGCAAATGAAGTTGTTGTAAAACCGAGACCATATATTGACAATTTGTGATTTGACTAAAAAACTTCGAAATAGGTTCAATTGGCTAATGTTGCTTGGCAGCCGGATACTTGCACCCTGGCCAGGCATAAAGATTGGCTTTCTGCCTGGAAGCACGTGCCTTTTTCCTTCAAGAACACTAGACCCTTGGTGCTTTGCTAATTTTGGACTCCATCCAAATCCAAAAGAAGATGCAATTACCCTCGATAAAAATGCAAAAATCTATCCGCAACGTCGATTTAATGTCTGTCAAAATCTTCATTTTTGTTATATTATATAGTACCAGCTGTTTATCAAAACAATTCCACACTATCCCAAACACACTCACTGTTGCTCTCCTTTTCCATTCCCTTTTTTCTTGGTGAAAATGACTAAAATTCTATTTATTTATCAAAATAGAAGCCTAAACTGACTTGAGCAATCCTACTGTCGGCATTTAACCTCATATCCTTCCCTCAGCAGCATTAAATGACAGAGAAAAAAAAAGTGCATACAAAAATTTATTGATCCAAAGGACCACCTCGTACATTGATACTCTAACTAGTTATTGATACTCAAAAATTTATTCATACAAAGGACCACCTCTTACATTGCATAAAGATGAGCTTCGTAATACTTCGGACCACATGACAGGAAAATGTTTAGCAAGTGAAAGCAAACAACATATTTTTATTCCAACCATCAAGATGGTCCTGTACTCAGGTTAGCATGCCTACTAGAGGAACTCAGAGAGCACAATATTTTATACATCCACATTTCCAAGTTAGATCTTAGACTTCCATGGAGGTGGCTTATGGAAGACTGCCACCAACTGTTTATACTGAGCGGCGATTGAGTCATTCAAAATGATATGTATGAAGAGGAAATCCAAACTCTGGCGCAATTTAACAACCATTAGTTGGTAAAACAAGGTGCATTTATCTCTCAAAGTGGCAACAATTGCTTCAGCCGCCAGTGCCACTCTACATCTTTGGCAGGAGAGTGGAAGGATCAGATGGAACATCAGCACTTGCCTGCCAAAAACCAAAAACTTTTAACTTGGTACCTAGTGCTGTCAATATAATTTTAAGTCCTGCGAATCTGACATGTTACTCACCTGTAGGTATCTTGAAAGCACTGTGGTAGTGCTGAAATTGAAACCCTCAATTGGTTCTCCTTTCCTGCGCGACACATGAAGTTGTTTTCTAACTTGAGAGGCCAGCGACTGCATCACATTTAGACCACAAGGGGAGAAAAAAAATCAACACTAACTCTGGCGGAGAAATTCAAAGTTAATTTTTAAATTACTTAGGAAACGGAGAGAAAAAAAAATGCACCAGCATGACTGCTTGAGTATGAAGAAGAAGAAAAGTTAACTCAAACTTTGTGTTTTGAGGGAAGGGGGATGCGGTGCTTGGCAGTGTCGCAGAGATCTTGTACAAAGGAATACAAACCTTTCCCAACTCCACTCCCCACTGGTCGAAAGAATTAATACCCCATACAAAGCCCTCTACAGCAATCCTGTGTTCGTAGATTGCCAGTAACTGGAAAAGAATACCATCAGCAAAATCAGCAAAGCCAGAAGCAGAGATCTTGACATATTTATCAAGGATGCATTAAAATTTTCCAGTATAGTGCCAAAAATAGAGCAGGAAAGGAAAATTAGTCTAATTTAGGGAGTTGTACCCTGAGAGGACAGCAATTACTTTCATTCAACCCCCAAGTTAAAAGTAGATGCACTCATATCTATGAGGAAAAGGCTATTCATCAGCAATAGGTGTCATGAAGTTGGTTTTCACGTAAGAAGAATTTAAATGAAAAACATTCATGAAGCCCTCAACAATGCAGTTCCACAACTGCAGCGTCAAATAGTACAAACCCTAAAGTCCTCAAAGCTCCACCATAAGCAATATCATGAAGCAGTAATCCAAGAGCGACTCTGAAAACTACACAGACAAGACTAATGAAACTCTCAAAATCTTGACCTACATCATGATGTCCAGTTACAAGCATCAACCTTATAGTTTGATCTGTACTCACAACCAACTAATCCAATTGGGCCACGGGTATATTCATCATAAATTTAAGATTTCGTAAGTGTGATACCAAATGTTCTTGGAAAACCAGAAAAAGTATCAAAATGGTTCAACTAATGTTCAAAAGGAAAGCAAAGCTTTATAAATCCCGTACCTGCCCAATGTTATAAGCACTTAGTGATGGGAGAAGTAAACTGATAGAAGGTCGATTTCCACAAAAAGTCTGCAAATGTAACAGAATTGTAAGCTAAGAAAATTTTCACGAACAAGAATATTAATAAGAAGATGTGGGGGTATTACCTTGTGGGGAACTAGATGCTGGGGAACATTTTCCTTTAGTAACTGTTCTGCGGTCTGAAAGCAGATAAGTTAGGATACAGAAAATTTGAAGTGCAAAAATATGCATGTTTTTTACAGTATTAGCAGCATGCAATATAAAACAACAGAAACCTAAGAGAAAAAAAGATACAGCAAAGAAGTTAGGAGACTAATAGTCCAAGTCTCAGAGAGGCCTGTTAATTTTGATCTTCACCAAATAAACAAATGTCACAAATTTGAAGAATGAGAAGCTAGAAAGGGAAGCAGAAACACTGGCTTATTACCTTCCCATAAGCAAGAGCATCAGGCTGTGCAAAGAAGTTTGACATGAGCTCATCATGATTACTCACAACTTCACCTGCAAAACAAAACTTGTCCTATCAGGATAAGGTAATCTCAGAAGCAGAAATTTGTACCCAAATGCGGAATATACAAAACAAAGAAAAATTTACCTTCCAAGTATACAGGTTGCTGACTCTTGACAATGCCAATAAAGTCGCAAGGAATAACACGGCCCTGATTTTTCAAGGATAGTACAATCAAAACTCTTTCATATAGGAGATCATACTAAAGCTCAGTGGGATTGACTGCATACCAGTTAGACCTCATAAATGGAAAAAGCCTATTTGATGATGTACTTAAAATATGAAGGCAGATACAGAATGCAGGCAATCCACAGCTCATAGATCTCAAAAACATATGACTCTTACACACTACATCCATTAATTTCACTTACAGATGGCATTAGCTGAAAACTCACACGGGTAGAATAGTCCAATATTATAACCTTGCAAGTCTAAAAAATTGAAGAGGTATTATGGTGAAGAACACTACCTGGTGAATTAACTGGTAAAAACTGTGCTGACCGTTTGTCCCTGGTTCACCAAAATCAATTTCACCAGTCTCATAGGGAAGTGGCACACCGTCAATAGATACCCCTTTGCCATTGCTCTCCATGCTAACCTGAAGGCAACCAAATTTGGGCTAAGAAAGAAGCAAGAAGCACGGCAATGAGAACAGAGCGAAAGGAGTTTCAGCAGCATGCCTGTTGAATGTGGGGTGCAAGTTTTTCCAATGCTTGAGAATAAGGTAAAATGGCCTGAAATCATAAAGACTACATTCAGTGTAATGGCTTAGCCAAATAAAGCTTCATCAGGTATAAATAAATTAATCTGCCTAAATAGTTGTTTCTTAAAAGATAATGTACTCACTCTTGCAGGATAGCCAAGGAATGAAACATTCCACACGCTCAACAATCCCAACAGAACCTGAAGTATAAAAGAATGCTTCTGAGAAGGAAAAAGTGTAGTGCAAATGTAAAGCTGGACCGCTAAAACACTACCAGCAAAAACTAAATAAGACTGAAATGAGAACTAAGTGTGAAATCAAGGTAAAATTTTTCCAAAGGAAAAATAGTCCCTGCTGATAGGCAAAACAAGAAGAAGACTCGGAAGAGCTAAGAAAGCCAGCACAAAGACAGATACCACCAAAGAAAATCTTACAATTTCAGAAACACCCTGGGAAATGCATGAGAGGTTAACATACAGGCAAATGCATAAGGACCTATTATATTCACAGAACATGTCGATACAGGATGTTTTAGAGATGTCATTGAACTTATGACAAGCCTCAGCAGAGATAAGTGTACTTTAACCCCAAAAATGCTTCTCAACTAGGGATTCAAAAAATTTATGGGCTATATATATCATATGTATAATAAATGACACAAAAAGGGATGATTATTTGGGTCTGTACAGGTATATTCTTCTCAAAAGGTGCCGAATAGAAATGCTGATCAACACTCCATGCTCCCTTCAGGAACCTTTGAAGATGAAAATGATGGGGGAATGTCAGCAAATATAAAACTAAAACTAAACAAGTAAAGAGTACTAAAAGAGCAATAAAATAAAATAAAAAGAAAACCAGCAAAAATGTTTCAAAGAATAGCATCAAGGAAGTCACGAACAAAATTTGAGTCCAAATATGAATTCCAAAGAATGCAGATTATTATTAATATGTCAAGTTTTATGTCCTGATGCCTTACAAAACAAAAAAGACTTCAGAATATAAGAAGTGAAGATCTGCTTAAACGTGTAAAACTTCCTTGATCTTATCTCAAACTTA